AAGAACTATACCCGCAACCTAGTAGCCAACATCAACGGACGGGCAAATCTGGTAAGTTGCTTTCGCAGTCGCGAGGGGCTAAAGGTGTTTTGGCTGACCATGGTGGCAGCTGGTTCTCGTCTGGAACCCAGAGAAAGGATCTCCGATCCATGACCATGCAAATGCGCACTGCATCATGAAGATTCTCGCGGGCGAGCTGAATGAGGCAGTTTATGACACTCCTGATCCTGAACAGAGCCACGAGGCCCCGTTGAGGGTGAAGAAAGACACAACGTATGGGACCGACGAAGTGGCCTATATTTGTGATCAGATTGGACTGCACCGGGTCATGAATCCTCGCAGTGACCAACTGGCCGTTTCCCTGCACTGTATGCGCCCCCTCATCACCTGAAATGTGACAGGCTTTGACTGACTGGCAACAGTGTATACGCCTCCGAATGCAGCGGACTTTGGGTACAATATCTATGACCGAGAGTCGGGGCGGAGAAGTCATGTCTACCAGGCGTAGGATTTTATCAAGAATGGGCTATCGTGCGGTGCAAGTAATGAATAACGAACTAGATTAATGAATAGACTTTGTTTTTTTTTTCTCCAACTCTAGCACTTGTAGTAGAGGACAGATACTCGAGGGAACCTAAGAGAGACAGACTTTGAAAGCGAACCGAAAGTCCAACAACAGATGATAGTTCAAAGGTGCATGCATAAACACTGCTGAGTCATACCCAAGCAATGCGTCCGTTTCCTTCAATCGCCGCTCAGCATCGGCCTTTGCATTACTGTCTTTAAATGCGCCTCGCTTCCTTCAATTCACCGAAAATGCACTGGGCCTCTGACAATTCTGTAGGCCCCTGTGTTCTCTTTAGACGCAGTTGCTTCAGAGAAAAAGATTCTGTGTAAGGTCATTGCTCACTTTGCGGATCTCAATATGGTCCGCCCAGCACCACTTGCCTGCACGGAATGTCGCAAGCAACACCTCAAATGCGACGCAAAGACACCGTCATGCTCCCGCTGTCTCGAGAATCGATTCAACTGTCTGTATCTACCTTCACGGCGTGGAGGAAGGCGAAAGACCCGGGATGCGACTCGACAACAGCCCCTAGCTACAACTCCCAACTATACTCGTCTTCTGCAACAGCCAATGACTTCGCATCTAGCTACACAAAGCACGATCATCCCCCACCATGCTTCTAGTGTCAATATGACAGAGGTCTCGCCTTCCTCCTCGGGGCAGCAAGACCTTCCGATCCAATTAGCAGAGGGTATTCAAGATTCAACCGAGTCCGACGCCCGCCTGGTTCGCCTGTATTACGAGAACTTTCATGCTGCGCACCCAATCCTGGTCCCCGCTCCTCTCTATGACGAGCGCAAATATCCGAAGTATTTGCACGAAATTGTTGTCCTGATAGGAAGCCATTTCTTGCCGCAGTCGAGTGCATCGCTATCTGAATCAACGTTGGCCGAGTTGAGCGCCAGCGGTGAGAGGACTCCGTGCAAGGTCCAGGCTCTTCTCCTTTACTCAATACTGTTATGCGCCCGCGAAGAATGCCCGCAAACCCAGATCACGTTCTCTACCGCGGTTGACATCGCTTTGGAGCTGGGCATGTATCGACGAGATTTTGCGACCACATCATGCGACGAAAGAGACGTTGAAGCAGAAAGTCTGCGCAGGACGTGGTGGGAGCTCTTCACCGTGGACGTCCATATGGCTGCTTTGCAGAAAAAGGTCATCTTGAGATGCAGCAGCGTCCCATATGACGTTGCCCTGCCTTGTGAAGAAGCAGCCTATGCCAATCATTCGAGCATCCCAACCCCGCCAACCCTTGCTGGATTCAACAAACGGATTTTCACTGCTGACGATGATGATGGCGAGGCCGACCAGTCCCGCTATTCATCTTTCAGTTATCGTATTGAAGCAGTGTGCATTCTGGCTCGTGTCATCGTGCTCAACAGTTTACCCGAGACACACAGGGACCATCTGCAAGCTGTGGAAAATGCGCTTGTCAGCTGGACAAACCACCTCCCACCAACCAAAGTGGATATTGTGGATATGTACGGCAGCATTGATGAAATGCTCTTCCAAGCACATACAACAATTCACTATGCCGCCATGCTTCTGCATCTCCCAAGAAGCAATCTGCGACCTGCTCTGCCAGACACAGGGGCTCCCATCAGTCCAGTAATCCCATCCCGTCTCTCGCCGTCGTTCACCCGGCATGTCCACGACATTAAAGCCACAGAAGCCTCCAAGCAACTGTCGAATCTGCTGTCCGTGCGACCAAGTGTCCAGCGATATAGTCCGTTTGTCGTGTTTGGACTTGTACTATGCGGCATGGTGCAGCTTGCTACCAGTCGAATCCATCCGCCGGAGTGTTCGGATCACCACTGTAACCGCATCATACTTGTTCTTGGCTGTCTGAAGACGTTGAAGAACAAGTGGTCGGTAGCAAACAGGGCTCACCATTATCTAAGAAATGCAGCGTCGGAAACCTTTACGGCGTGGATCGAGTCTCGCTATCCGCAAGCCAGTGGCAGTGCACCGCCAGCCTCCCGCAATGATGCTTCGAGCAATTCTTCGACAATCGACAGTAGTGCATGGATCGTGGCCCCTGGGATTCCGGGTGCCTTGCGCTCAGCAGATGCGGATGTCCAAGGTCTTTTCTCACCGGGGCTTCTCTCGGCGTATATTGATCCCACTTGCAGCGAACCACTGCTCCTGCACACCATGCCCGACCTCGACTTCACATAAGCTGCATTTTGCTTCTCCATCAAGCAAGCGATACTTGAGGTGTTGCGAGCAGATTGAGGACCAAGTAAACCACTGACTTCGACGTCTCCGCCGCCAATGTGGTCAAATATCTTGGCTGTCCCTCCATGCAAATGGTACTATCAGCTCTACCGTCGTCCACCCTGTCGTCCACTCCGTCGTCTTGATTGATTCGACTTCGGATACTCTTGATTTAGAATATTCTCCGGCCCACGGAAAAGACAATTGGAAGTGGCAGTGCACAGGGTCAATCCCGTTCCTCTATTCTACAAGAGCATTTAACGCGGCAAGGGGAGAGAGGCCTGTCTTGGGAAAGAATTACGTTAAGGGGCCCTCGGGCAACGGAGAAGGCTCGATGCTGCCTCGATCGAATCAGATAATAGCTCATTAATTCCAAACGCGGTTATTACAATGACTTGGGTTAAAGTGAGATCCAGTCAATGACAACTGAAAGCTTGGCCTGGATGAGGAGAGGGTGAGCACGTGGAACGCCTCAAGCTATTCCTATGTTGGTGCAGGTACATTGCTGGTGAACAGGCTATAAGGAAGAAGACGGCTTGATGAATATCCCACTATCGTTTTTTCTTGCGAAAATCAGATTCTTTGATTGCCCCACAGAAACTCGGGGGCTGGCATCTCGTGCGCCTCTATAGGCTGCTTAGCACCATGGTGATACCAAGAAGTAAGGTTGATTACCTCAGGCTTTCAATACCAGTCTTAGACTGCGTTGTCCGCTTTTTGGCAGAGTCCACAGTGACAACGCGGACGTGGGCGGAAGAGTTGCTCAGTACCTATCGTTGGGCTGCAGGTATGCACGCAGGCCCGACAGGAACATCAGTCTCTCGGAGGCTTTAGATAGACATAGCGCAAACCGAGTCTTCGTTGAAGGTATTTTTTGATTTCCCATACCAGAATGAAGCTTGAGTCTGGTCGTTCACTTGGCGCGGCACCTGCTGCCTTCTGCATCTGGCGTTTGCTGGAGAGAAGTTGTATCTTGTGGTGACGGCCATAAATGCTAGTCCTGTACTTGGGGTGGCTGGATAATCAGGAGGCCAGCACTTGACCGATAGTCAAAAGCGATCCACGGGACATGATGCCATGAGGATCTAACTCCCGAGGCCCCGACTAGCGTTTCTTGGTGATGGCTGGCACGCCCTCGCTCGCGCGTAACTCGGCGAGTCTCTTCTCACGCTCGATGAGCCTCTCCTTCTCCTGCTTGATCATTTGTTCCACCGTCTTGTTGGCCTCCGCCAGGCGGTCCATCTCACTGGCCTCCCCAGCTTTGCTGTATTCGTTGCCCGGGGTTTTATTGAGCGGAATCTCCGCCGTCCGGCCGTTTTTCTGCTGCTGGGCCTGCTTGGTGTTCTTGCCCCCCTTCCCCTTCTGCGGCTGCGTGGCCCCCGTCGCGGGGCCTCCGGTCAGGAGCTCGTAGAACTGCTCCACCGGCTCGTTGAAGACCACCTCCTCGTAGTTCTGGCTCGTCACCATCTCCCGGCGTTCCTTCTTGCCCTCCGCATCGTCGCCGTAGGGATGCAGCTTCAGGCTGTGCCACAGCGTCTGAGGCTTCTCGTTGGATTCCGGCACGAAATAGAGCTTGATCTGGATCTCGAATTCACCCCACCCAGTCTCCGTGACCTCGAAGGGGGGCTGCTCGATCGTCCGGACATTCTGCGCGTACGTCTCATGCAGCTTGAACTGGACCTTTTTCAGCCAGTAGGAGATGTCTTCGCCGTTGACGCCTTTGACGAAGACGCGCCATTGATGCGTGTGGTCGGCGGGTACGTGGGGGGGTTTCTTCGCGGGATCGAACGGTTGGGCTTCGCTGCCGAAGACTACGGATCATCGAGCGTTAGTACAGAATGGAGAGTAATGAGAGTCAAGTAATGCTGGCGTACCGAAAGGGCGAAACACAGAGACACCCTTGAGAATCATCTTGTCAGCTGCCTGGTCCTGCCTTCGTCTGATGCATAATGGTGATTGAAGGAATGCTCACCCTCACGCGCTTTGTACCCGTTGCAGAAGGCATGCTTGAGCCTGATAGCGTTCCTTTGTAAGCGTGGTTGTGTCGGAGAACAAATGTGCTGGAACTGAATTGCAGTGATGGGCGTAACGTAGGATGCAAAGTGACCATGTCCCTGTCGCGACTTTCGCCCGCGGTGGCACGTGACAGCGGTGGGTGGTGATACGATAAGGAATTCCTCGGAAGCTCCGCAGCTATTCTTCTTGCTCCGGCGATCAAGCTCTCTTTTTTGAATTCCCATTCGACCATGTTACCTTGAAATTCACTCGTTGCTCTTCATATTCTTCTATTAACACCATAAATTACGCTCAGACTGTGTGATTAAGTTACATAATTAGCAAAATGGCTGCTAAACGGGTCGTTGTCGCGGGTGGTAATGGTTTCTTGGGTAAGTATACTCCGCATGTCGCGCACGCAAGAAAATGAGACTGATGAAGTCTCTCCCCTCCAACAGGTTCACGGATCTGCAAGTCTGCCGTCGCTCGGGGCTGGTCGGTCACTTCACTCAGGTATATTGTTCCATAGATGACCGGACAATTGTCGTTAAGTCTTGCGCAATAATACTGATCGCTACGGCATAGTCGCTCGGGCGAACCGCGGTGGGAGACCGTCACAGATTCGGTGAGTCGCCCGAGCTGGGCGAGCTCCGTCGAATGGGCCAAGGCCGATATCCTCAAACCCGAGACATACAAGGCTTTCCTGAACGGAGCCACGGCCGTGGTCCACAGCATGGGCATCCTACTCGAGGCGGATTACAAAGGTGTGGTGCAGGGAAGGGAGCCGATCCTTAGTGGCTTACAAAGGGCCTTCAGCGCCTCGAGGCCTGGCGGTCAGGATCTTCGGGAGAGACGAGAGGGTGAGCCTCTTGAGGTCCGGGACCGCAGCGGGCAGTTTACATACGAGCTGATGAACAGGGATTCCGGTGAGTATGCAGTGCTCGGACGAGGGATTTAGGTTCTACTCAGGAGAATTTTGGCCTAGATGCTGACAGTTGGGGTCATGATCTTTAGCTATCGCCCTCGCTCAAGAGACACACCACGAGCGGGTTCCTACCTTTGTCTACATTTCTGCTGCGTCGGGAGCACCGGTCCTTCCCAGTCGGTACGTCACAACTAAGAGAGAGGCGGAAGCAATCATAGCGGCGCAGCTACCGGAACTTCGAAATGTGTTCGTGCAGGCACCCTTTATGTACGACGAGAGTAGAAAGTTCACTCTGCCGATTGCACTCGGTGGCTTTGTCGGATCTCAGGTCAATGCTCTGCTGGGAAATAAGCTTGATTTTCTCGGCTCTATGGTAACCAAGCCACTCAAGGTGGACGACGTAGGCGAGGCTGTGGCAGAGGCCCTCGAAGATGAGGCTGTTCGCGGAGCATTGGGTGTACAAAAAATTGAAGCCCTAGCGACGAAGGCTTGGAGAAGAAGCATGCTTTGAGCATTGGTTGAATCAAACAGTATGTCTAGATTTCGATTTCTTTAACTTGATGCTAAAAATGGCACAGGATGATAAAGAGCCCCTGTGTGCAACAAGCCCTTAGCAACATTGAGGGATGAACCGACCGACCACTGCTTCAATGGCTGACTGTTGGCTGTGTTCAAGACGAGTTTGGATATCCAAGTATGAGTCAGCTCTTGGAAGAGCTGCAGAGCGACACTGCTTCAAGGTGGATCGGAAGCAATGACGCGATGCTGGTATAGTGTATTTGTACAGGGAAGGCTACCAATCGATACCCCTAGATAAATCTTTGCTCCATGATCTCTGCCAACCTTAGAAGCAAAGGGCGCTCGTGTTCTCTGCAAATGGAGCTCAACGTGACCGGCATTGTAGTTTTAAGCTCAATGGGTCAGAAGCTTGGCTATAAAGCGACTGGGCTATTTCAAGCTTGATCGCATTGCTCGAAAAGATAATTCCCAGCAAAGGAGACCGCATGTGAGGACCGGGGGGTGCAGAGTCACTCGAAAGGCAACCGATATTCGAATATTCCGACAAAGGGCATTTGGCGGGTGAAAATTATCGGATCCGTTCAAATCATAGTTCCACGCTCAAAGCTGTCACGAATCTCGGTGGTATACTGTTGCACAATTAGACTTGACACCAAAACAAAAATTTGAGACGGCACATACCTTGTTATAGAAGCGAGCCAGTTTCTGGTTGAATTGTTTGTTCTTCTCATTGATGTAGGTGACGTCACCATCATCATCTCCGCGGCGGTCTCTCCGCTTCTTGAGTCGAACCTCCTCAGCCTTTCTCAAGTCCGCGACCAGCTTATCGACAGCTACTCGGTCAGGCCTGTTTTCCGTGAACCCGACAGTATCTGCGGTGGAATAGAAGGTGCCGTTCTTATCGACTGCAATCATCTCGCCGTCGTTGGTTTCCACGATTTCGAGGTCCCCGTTGGCGGCGGCTTTTTCGATGGCTGCCATCTTATCTCGCTCATAACCCTCCAGGTCAGGTTGTAACTCCCGCAGCTGTCTCTTGTATACTTTGCGCGCATCTTGTGTATAGTCCTGGAAGGCAACGTCATCGCGATGGCGTTGTTTCTTTTCCATCCGCTTGTCCCATTTTTCCGACTCATCCACAGTCCAGTCCCAAGCGCGCTTGCGCTCAAAATCCTCGCCCGCGGCCTCTGTATCAGCTTTTAGCAGGTTGTGCGATGCGAAGGCATGCTTGCGCGAGATCGATGAGAGTAATGCCGGGTCGGTCGCCAGACGTTGTGTTTCAGCGGCGGTTTCCTTCATGTTGCGCTCTGTAGCCGTTTTCTGGAAAAAATATCAGTAAAAACGCCCATTTCAGACAAGGTGAATTGTGGAGTACTTACCGCGCGAGCCTGAAGAGCTTTGAATCTCTCTTTGCGCTGTCGGGCCTTTAAGACAGCATCATCCTCTGTTTTATCTACTTTCTTCGAGACGTCCTCGACGGCATCGGTAGCGGTAGGCTCCTGGGAGGCATCGCCTGGCTGTTCGGCAGGCTGCTCCTGCTCAGAGTCAGGATTGCTTGCCGCAGGCTGTTCGATGTCGTGTTCGGTGGGCATTTCGCGGAAGTATGCACAGAATCGGGTCGCGATGATGTTAAAACTCAATGGTAGGTTTTGAGGTAACGTGATGATCGAGCGCTGGGTAATGAAAGAAGTCAAGGCTGGGGTTCGTGTTACCAGCGTGGATGATGAAAGAAAGAAAGGATGAGGCTGAGGTCAACTCTGGCTCGGATTTGCACGACTCGCCGCCCTACCGACCGCCTTTTGACTTTCCTCTGATTGTCCGATTATCCTTATCTCCTCCCCCGACCCGCCCGCCCACTCACCCCCACAGAAGCATGTCATACAATACAATATACTCTGGTTGATCGACCTCTAGTCCCAACCATTCTATTTCATCTCCATGTTAAAGCCACGGAATCATAGCCACTTGCTTGTATCTAGGCGCAGACTGGACAGGAGACCAGTGTCATGCCACATAAAGCTTCGTCGCCACGTTGACCTTCGCGCTAAGCAGAGGTCTCCATATCCTGAGGCCACTCCGTCCCAAACACTTCGGTTTGCCCTGACTGCTACGCTGAAACGGCCTGAGCATGATTCATCTAATCCAATCTTGGAATCGCATCTATCGCAAATCCTACAGAATAAGTGGCCGACATTCTCCCTTCCTTCGCCACTTTTGGCTACTCTTTGGCCAGACCCTGAAAGACACGCGCCCAAGGCCTCGCGCCTCGATACCAGTCAAATAAGAAGTCTTCCTGATCTGCAAGACTTCGTTGAAAGTAATGTGATAAACAAGGAAGGATGCAGACTTCTGCAGTCTCGACAATGCGTTCCTCTATCGAAAGCGTTAGCACTCTGCGAACGGCACAATCAGTTCCGAGAGGTTCTCTCCGCTATTCATGGGATTATTACGCGGGTAGAGAGGATCAATGGGCATTGCTCGAAGCGTCTGTACGTACTGGGAATGTACTATGCAGCACTCGCATTCTCAGTTCCGGCTCTCAAGCGCTACTTGGAAGGCTATCTAGCCTGTGGTTCGCAACGCTTAGGTCCGAACGAGAGCAGACTCCTAGTTCACGCTCTCCTTGATGCCTCAAGGTATCTTGCATTCTGCGAGGAAACTCGGGACATGGGTGCGATGATTGGTCTAGTAACTGGAGATGCCCAACCGAGCAACAATCGCTTGCATGATATTTTATATTGGGCAGGGCCTGGCCATCGGAACTCATGGTCTGGCTCTTATTTCACCTTGCTCGTCAAATTTAACAGCAAGGCACTACAGAAAGCTCTATGGGCTAGACTCATAGATGATCTGTCGCCTGAATCACACAAGAATCAATTTCAAGCTGTCTATACGTGCGTGGAGGCCTTGATTGACGCCGGCGATACGCAACGAGCTATTACATTCTTGAATCAGATATCGGAGCGCGCCAATAATACTTTACCATTCTTCTCAACTGCCAAGTCACTTTGCTACGCTCTCCCCGCTGATAAACTGCAAGCTTCCCTAATCGGCGAGGTAGAACATACTGAGATTCTGAATCAACTTCTCACAGACATGGAGAATCGGCTGGGCATCCGCTGGCAATCCAACTTGCTACTTCATTCAAGTGCTTCTGAACCCCTCACGGTTGCTAGCGAGCAACCATTGTTGACCATCGATGGGGATAGCACTGGCTATGAAAGCGTTGAGCGGCTTCTCACACAAATTCATTCCTTTGGGTGCTCAAAATCAAAAGCTGACCTTGGTCAGATTGCCGATTCTCTCAATGAGCATGACGGGAGGCTGTTGTCTAGTCTGGCCATCGCTGATGCTGATACAAATATGGAGTACGCTTGGTGCCCCCAGAATGCCCCACTTGAATTTCCAGAATCTCTTTCGTCTATTAGAACAGACTTTTCCAAGCCTTGGACACCCTCTACGCTAGGTTTACTTCGCGTTAGCCCTGATCCTAGCGGTCAATGTCTTGCCGGCAAGCGATCCCTGCATTTGATGCAGCTTGGATACTTGGTCGCAAGGCCAAGAATGCCTCAAGGGCGAAACTCGCAAGATGCCACTAACTGGAAACAGACGGGACATATTATTGCTTGGGATCGCTTTCATGGGCAGCTGGTTGCGGTCTTCGTTGGACCTGTCCATGGCGCAAGCCAACATTGCATAGAAGCAGGACCTTCGAATCTGCGATTCGGTCTAAATTCCATCCTGAGTGTTAATCTTTTCAATGACCGACCGACACACTGCTCTAGCAATCGTGTCACTCCAATCGGTAGTGGTGCGACGAGATATTATGTTGATGTGGATCCAAGCCCGGACTTGTTACCATGAGGGAGGCTGTTATTATCATATCTGGGCTTCATTTGTACGCAGAGGTCTTGTGACTCGAGGCATGCAGCCACGACCCTTTCCTGCCTGTAAAATACAGTACCTGTGTGCGACAACCGGATGTAGAATATGGTAAATACGCTTTAGGCTTGGTATATTCTTATCCAACCGAGATGGTACAATGTAGCCAATTATCTAGTCGAGGAACGGAGTAGTATCTACGATAGAGATTCGTAGATAGGTGACTTGAAGATATCGCCCCAAGCACCCAAAGTAGAATATCTTTAGTGATTGTAATGCTTTCTCCGTGGACGAACATAGACAGTACGAACCATATATAGCAGAGACACAGCCTGTTGTGCTCTGGCATTTACCAGGTAAATAGCAGTATTGTGTTAACACTGGGCTGATTTGCCTTTGCCTAGAAGCCAATGCAAAATTCGAGAGTACTAGGATCGTTTGACTTGGTGAGTGCCACAGAGGTACAGGCACAACGAAGCTTGTCGGTCTGGACGCCAGGTCATCCCTGCTCCCTTACGCCCAATGCACTAGTTCTGTTTTCATCTGAGCGAATAATCTGATTGCATGAAGATTCGTAGAGCTGCCATATGCCTGGGGATCAGCATCCAAGAGGGATCGGAGGTGATAGCGCCATGCACTCGGAATAGTTGCTAATTTGCTTTTTCCTTCTATGTTTTCTTCTCTCTCTTTTTCTCTCTTTTTTTCGCCTATTTGTCCAGATGGCACCTGGCCCCAATTCAGGTTTTTCTTTGTTTCGGTATCCGTGCAGTGCATCTCCGAGGAGTCTTTCTGATCGAATGATGTTCTGGTTCGGACTGTAAAGTGTGCCTTGGTGTCAAATTTCATGTTTAAAATCACAGCCACCATGCTGAAGACATCTGTGTCCAGAGAGGCTCAGCCAGAGAGCCCCACGTAAGGTGAATGGGAGTTCGAGGTAACTGTTGTCTGGTCGACCAAGTCTGGTTCCGGTGTACTCCAACCGTCATGATGGGAATACCCCAACCGGAGTCTGAGCCCTCTCTGCTTCCCTTTCCCACTTCACACCGGGCACATAGCTTATGTGGTCGAAAGTACTGCCAGACACTTAAGTTAGGTATGGCAACGCTTGAAACCGTGGGATGCTCTATGGCGGAGGTGCAATGGACGGGGCCAAATTGCTTGTGTTGTGATGGGATGCCGGTCACTTGATTCACCCCCTTCCTTCTTTCCTCCCCCTACCTCCTCCACTGCACCTCTCCAGATCTTCCCCTTCGATGCTCCTCCTCAGTGGTAATTCTTTGGGACTCATCGGCGGTTCATTTCAAGTCCACTCGATACATTCCCACTCCACCTTAGCGTCGTGTGAACCAGTCTAAGGAGATAATGCTCAGATCTCCCCGGTTTGAGCGCGCCACTATATTTTGCTGGATTAAGCCCGACATTTCCCGGAATGACTACTCTGTCGCTTTGATTCTCCTGGGGTGCGGTCGCCTTCGGGGACCTCGTATTGCGAGCTTGGAAATGTTCCAGTTGCCTGCTCGAGGCCGGTGGCTCGGGGCTGCCTACACGCAGCGCTAAGTGAAATCCAGCTGCCTCGGTCGAGTCAGCGACTGCCTGGTAGCCTCGCTACCTCAATGCAAACGCAGGGCTGCGGCCGCAAGATATGAGGGATATGGATTCGAGGATGAAGCGGCACCAGAACCTTGAAAAACAGGGCTTGCAGCATTGAAGGTTCGTCGTGTGCACAAGCAGGGCCGTCATTGTAGTTATTGTCCTGCTAACGGCTGCAGTATGGTAGCCTCCAGAGCAAGAGGTCCAGACCAACAGCTACTCGAACGCAAACCTAAGAGTGGGCACTAAGTACACATAAATTCCAGGAACTTCAAGGGACTGCGTGGATCACAGGGAGAACCGCCACTTCCTGGTTGGTGCTGAAATCCGCCAGCATACAGCCAAATCCACAGAATCCAGGGGAGCCATTCAACCGTCAAGACACATCATTTGTTCTTGTCGGTAAGGCAACCACTCAGATGCAGTAGCCTTGTTCGCCAAGTCGCGAAAGGCGAACAATCGCTACGATGCTAATGCACTAATAGCACCACCTCCTTTGTCGGTTAAAGAAACTTTCGCTTTAGACCTTGGATGTGGGTCAGAGCACTAACTACGCTATACCAGTCAGCAAATATGAAACAGTCTGGGGCGGTGGCCATTCAAGGGATCATATACCGCATCACAAGGATGAAAAGCTTACCTCGCCAGTTTAGAAGCCACACACGCATCACTCAAGCGAATGTACTCTGTACTATGGATTTATTATCCTAAGCACTATCGAAGAGAGACGGCACGGGCCCTGCAATCTTTTGTCGCCTGACAAAACCGCTTTCCTCAACTTTCTTATTTGGCAACGCCTTTTTGACATTGCAATCGAGCCCTGTCGAGGATAGCCTATTCCGGCTACGCTTAGTCTAACTATGGATTCCCAGCACTATGGCCTACCGTCTCCGTAGTGGCCCGTGCAATAATCCAATAGCCACAGCACGCCACCATCAGCAGCGGCTGGAACCATGAGCGACAACTATCCCGTTCCCCACAACTGTCACTGGTGTTTGTTCTTTACAGTCTTCTTCAGCTGTCAAATGCTCCTGCTTCAATGTAAGATGATGAGCCGCAGCAAGAGAATTGGCAGCGAGTTTGTAATCCAAACACACCTCGAAGCCAGAAGAGGCCCGAA